AAAAAAAAAAAAAAAAAAAAAAGAGAGACAAAGGCAACCGAACTGCTGGAGAAATCTGATTGCCATGACAACATCTCCTACCAGGGGACAGTTCTGCTTACTGGAAGGGAGAAGGCAGAGGAGAGGATGCATCTTGACAGCAGCCAAACAATAGAGCTGAGAAAAATAAGCCCAGAACCTCTGACTCTTTCTCCCAAAAACCTCAAGGCCCCTTGGCAGGACTGTTTGGTTAACCCTGAGGTCACCTCTGTAAAGCACCCAGTTAAATGCCAACTTGCAGACTTTACCCCTTGAATGGACCAATATGTTCTCATTACTCCTACACTGCTGAAAGCTCCCAGGCCCTCCTAATATCCCCATATTACAGGCAAGGAAAGTTCAGAGAGAAGTCACACAGCTAGGATGTGATGAAGTTGGAGCTGAGATGAAACCTGTATCAGCATGACTCCAACACAATATGGGTGCCTCACTCCCATCCTTCCCAACATCCTGCCCCACTACTGCCAATACTTAGATATGTGCCCAGGGCCCTTTGCTTTCCTTCTCTGGGCCTAAGCTTAGTTATCTGTGAAACAGGAAGGCAAAATGGACCAAGAGAACTCTAAGCTCCCCCAGCTCTGAAAGTCTAACAGATCCAATCACATCCAATGTCCTTTCTGAAGCTAATTTCCAGATGCTTCAAAAAATAGGCTGGGTGCAGTGGCTCACGCCTATAATCCCAATACTTTGGGAGGCCCAAGTGGGAGGATCACTTGAGGCCAGGAGTTCAAGAGCAGCATGGCCAACATGGCAAAACCCCATCTCTACTAAAAATACAAAAAATTAGCTGGGCCCTGGTGGCGCATGCCTGTAATCCCAGCTACTTGGGAGGCTGAGGCAGGATAATTGCTTGAACCCGGAAGACAGAGGTTGCAGTGAGCCAAGACTGCGCCACTGCACTCCAGCCTGGGTGACAGAGGGAGACCCTGTCTCAAAGAAAAAAAGTTTCCTGTGCTGACATCTTCAGCTCCATTTCTTTATCAAACAAGACCTCAGCCCTGTTCCAAAGCTCCTTTTTGTTTTTTGTTTTTGTTTGTTTTTTGTTTTGAGACAAGGTCTCACTCTTGCCCAGGCTGGAGTGCAGTGGTACAATCTCGGCTCACTGCAACCTCCACCTCCGAGGCTGAAGCGATTCTCCTGTATCAGCCTCCAGAGTGGCTGGGACTACAAGCGTGTGCCACTATGTCCAGCTAATTTCTGTATTTTTTATAGAGACAGGGTTTCGCCATGTTGGCCAGGCTGGTCTCCAACTCTGGAGCTAGGTGATCCACCCGCTCTGCCTTCCAAAGTGCTGGGACTACAGGCATGAGCTACCACGCCTGGCTGAGAGTACCTTTTCTGAAGTACAAATCTGATCCTATCACTCCCTGCATTAAACACTTGAGCAACTTTTCATTCCCTTCCAGATAAACTCCAGACTCCATAACAAGGTTTAGAGGCCCTTTGCAACTGGGCTGCTACTTCACCCCTCGCAATCAGCTACCAGAACCGACGGTTGCTCCCCACCCCTCCAATCCGGAGCAAGCCAGGCCCCCTCACCTCCAGAAGCTCACTCACTTGCCATCCACACTCCTTTCTCTGACCCTACTCATTCTTCAGATGAATTCCTCTGGGAGTCCTTCGGGGTGGGTTGTCTCATTGTGGTCCCAGAAAGTCCTACACTACTATACTTCCACTGGCCTGGCAGTTCTTCCCTTATAATTCCCTGTTTGTTCATTGCGAGGTTCCTGGCCAAGTGCTGTGTTTCACGCATGTAATCCCAGCACTTTGGGAGACTGAGGTAGGAGGATTGCCTGAGCCTAAGAGTTTGAGTCCAGTCTGGGGTTTCAACCAGGAGTTCAAGACCAGCCTGGGTCTCACCAACATGGCAAGACCCTGTCTCTATTTTAACAAAAACAAACCAACAAACAAACAAACAAGAAGGCTGTGAGGCTCCTAAGGGAGGGGAATATCCTCTGATTTACAGGAGCATCTAGTGTTCTGTTCAAGGCCAATCTTGCCCTACCTGGCATCATGCACAGTGCGTTACACTTCCCCAGTAATTCATTCAGGCATTTATTGAGCACCTAGGGTGATCCTGGCACTAGGCATGTGACTTTGTCAATAGCCAACAGCAATGACGTGACTGTGGCCCTATTAGAGAGAGCCACGCTGACCTGCTGCTGGATCTGCTTTCCCTTCCTCCAGGTCTTCAGGATGATTCTCAGTGCAGGAGAGAACCCGAGTGTTCTGCTTCTAGAGTGCAGCCAGCCTTTTCCCCATCCTCCTCCCCAACTCCC